ACCAGGGAAAAACATACTGCTGATTTGAGCGTTCTCTAACTCTGTGTTACTCTGTGCCCTGCCATCACTCAGACAATTTCACTCAGCATGCCTCCTCTGCATTGCCTCTGTTTCCCTCTCTGAATGTTTGCCTGTGTGTAGCATAACACAACAAAAACCTCAGAACATCAACACAACTACATTATAGTGTAGTATAAATCATTTATTGAACGTTTCTGTAGTGTTTATAAATCCCAAATAGGGGGGCTTATAGTAAAATGCTACAACCAATGGAATTAATGCTTCGCTAATACATAATCTGACAAATTTGCCATATGAACCATTACACGGTGGTACAGGTGATTTTGTGTTTTTTACCTCTCAGTATGAGAAACCTTCAGCATTTTTAAATACCAGCTTTTATTTGACAGTTTGTTCTACACTATTTGTCTGTTATCTGTAGTGTGTCCGTCCTTTAGCAGGTCGCTCTATACTGACAGGATGGAAAAAAAAAAAGAATAAAAGAAGAATCAGTTTTTAAAAAATGTATTTTTTTGCTTTTATTTTAATTAACATTAATTTAGTTTTTCCTTTATGAACTCTTTAGGTGTTTGGGCTCTTACTACTTACATTTCTTAAAGCTCAGCTCAGCGCTCACAGTGGACACATAATTAAACTTGTAAAAGCTATTAAGACAAAGGCGTGTACTAGAGTAAGATTATCCTATATTGCACAAATCTTACAGTGGTTACATTCAGTAAGACACCGAAAATAGACTTTTTGTTGAAAATCAGCCTTAGCTGAAGAGCTGCACACAGTATGAGCTGGGTAAATGGCGGTAAAGTGACATACAGAAATGACTGGGGTAAAAGGAAAACCACTAACAAGTCCCAGGAAACTGAAGAGAAATAATTATAAGTAGGAGTGTTAATGTCACACAAGAGATGCATAATCTATAGTCTGTTCACACACACACACACACACGCACATTAACAGTTGCTAAGCACATCAGTCCTAAACTGAGCCCATTTCTATGTAAAGTCTCTCCATTAGTTATAATGTAATTTAGGACATTATTTCGAAAAGTATTTGACCTTAAAAAAAAAACCAACTTATGATCCTGGGATAAAAAAGTTATTTGTTGATTTGTAGCCACCCTACAGATAGAGTAGCTCAACTGAGATTTCATTAAAAAGTAATAAAAAGGTACTGGGTTGAAAAGAATGGATTACTTCATGTGAGATGAAAGAGAAAAGAAAGACGGATGTCTGAGAAGAACAAGCACAGTCAGTCTGGCACTTATTGATCTTACACTCTTATCTAAAGCTGAAGTTTGTGGTTTTGTGGGGTTGGTTGATTGAACCGAAAATGAGCTGCCTGCTTAGCCTTTTTGCCTGATTGTATGCCATGGTTCTAATGTTCCACGAAAACTCAACATGTACCAGAGATTCCCAAAAGATACTTTCGAGGAAACCAATGGATGGAATTAAGGTCTTTGTAATGAGCTTGTACTTCACTTTGCAGGTCTGTTGTGCGGACACCTGGGTCATTTGAGGGCAAGCTGTCAGAGAGAGAGAAGTTCAGTCTCAAAACTTTCCCAGAGTTTGAAGGTTTTAATCAGTGTTTGATTCAACCATGTTTGTTTGAACATTCAGCTGATGTTACGGTGGGAGCAGAAAGTGTGAAACAGGGTACTTTGGAAGACCTTCCATTCGCATTCCGAATGCTGTTCATGCCTCAGGGTTTGGATTGATGGAGTATTTTGAGTGTCTAAGATAAATGTGCATGTTGTGTCAAATTCACATATTTCTACATGTAAAATCATTGTTCCCTTAGTGAGAACAAGTACCACAGCTATGATTTAATTGGCTCATAGCTACTGTTTAGATGCAGTTTAATAATATTTTACACAGCTATTGATCTCGCTGTTTAATTTGAGGGTCCACAACTCTCATGCAGTTCTTGGGATTCATACATAAACAGTTTTTACACTCCATGTGATAGAAGTAATATCAGTAACTCTTAATACGATACAATAGTAGAGGGTCACAAAAACATGTCATTGTAGCAAGCAGTGGCTCAACATCTGGCTCAGCAACACCTACCCAGACCCAAATGCACAGGACACCACGAATGTTCCTACTGAACTTTTGCTGTTATTTAATTTTATTATTTAGCCTAAGCCCATGTTCTTTCAGCTTTCTAGTTTGCTTTCATAAATGCCTTCTTCCGACTGTGTGCAGACCTGTGGACTGTAATGGACATTCACTTCATCTGATCCACAACAATTGCACACACATTCACATTCATGCACACAAACTGACTCACCTGCTCCTCTACTGAGAGATTATCCAGAGTTTTCGGTGCTATAAGCTGTTTTGTCCTGCCAGTGTGAGATGAAATTTCCTCTGGAGTTTCATACTGTAAGAAAGGCAGAGAATGAATGACACTGAAATAATGAAAAGACACAAAAATAATCTAACGTCGAGTGGCTCTGTGCTAATTTTATAGAAGTGGCACACTACAGGGTACAATAAAGTACTGCGGTGATACAGGATGGTTGTAATGCAGGTAATGGAGCAGGTTGGCCATTAATAGCTTTGGAGATTCAGTCCCTGGCTTCTCGTGTCCATATGTAAGTGTACTTGAGCGAGACACTGATGTCGGTACAGTATGTGGGGGAAAATGTAAGTTGATTCAGACATAGTGAGAAGAATGTAACATCACAAATGGGGATGAGCTTTTAGACATAACTCACAACATCATACTGCTGCTGTATATTTCCACGATGATGACATATCAGGTGATTCTGCAATATTTTGCGACCAATCATTGACAGTATATCTCTTTATCTATGTTTATGACTGAAGAAAAAGTACATTTATTTACATTATAGACAACTGTGTAGCAATGTGTATATATAGAGTCTGACATGATGTCTACACTGGATGTGTTTCAGCATTATGCTTCTAATGGAAATAATACGATTTCCTTTCAACAACAGCTCTCTACACCAGCCGTATAACTGCATGTCAGAGTTTGACCCGTGGGCTTCTTTTAGCCTTGTTTTTTTTTTTACTTACACACCTAAGTGTGTGTTTTGTACTGAACTGCGAGGTTTGTCAAACACCTCATAGTGTACATCAGTAGTAGCTGAACAAATACAGTGCAGACACACTGCTGCAGGAATCAAAGCCGCTGCTTTTGTTGTGTGGCTAATGTACTCTATAAAGGGTACAAGTCTTTTTGACACACACAGGAACTGTCAGACAGCTGAAAGGTTCCAGAGTTAAAATGTCTGGAACTAAGAAATGGCTCATACTTAGACCTATAGTAGCTATTGTATCGCAGCATCACTGTTTCGATGCAAGTATATTGCTAATATTCAGTTGTAGAGCAGGCTGTTCCTGAAAAAGAGAGCACATTTTCTTGATAACTGCTCTATAGAAATAAATGAATTATGGTGTTTACTTTGTCTCATATTTGTTTCATCCTGCATATTAAGGTCTTTCTATTAAGAGAGTGGGATTTATAAGGTTAGAGACAAGAGAGCAACAGGGTGGCGGAGAAAGGGAAATCAGAAATCTGTGGACAGAGTTAGTCAGAGAGAATAAAACTGATGAGACAGGTTGATTTGTCCATGGACTTTTCAAACCAGACAGTTCCACCCATGTGTTGGTTTATAGTATTTTGGAAGACCTGCAGAAGTATGTTTTGTTTATATTATCTCCTTCATTATTCCTTCCTTATTAAGTCTGAAACACTGAGTATCAGTCAGTTATTGTGCAACACATGAGAGTTTCAACAACAAGTATGTTTATGCTTGTATCTTCTAGTCTAAGCCCTGTCAGTTTAGCTTTATGAAGCTCAAAATTGCCTTGGAAAATAAAGCTTTGAACTATTATTCATTCTCTTGCTTTTGGGTATGCTTTGAATTATTTGGTAGACAGTGGCACAGCAGTCAGACTAGCTGCATATTTGGAGGCTGTTATGAAAAGTGTTTTTGTTGGTTTTTCACACCTCTCTATATTATCATTCATCATCGAATGCTATTTTTCTAGAAGCAGGCTCTGTTTTCTGAGGCTTGATGTATATAGTGAAAACAACGCCTTCCTCCCTGGCTTCATGGCGGTGCAGTGGGTAGCACTGTCACCTCACAGCAAGAAGGTTCTGCTTTCGAACCTCACGGGTTCTTTCTATGTAGAGTTTGCATGTTTTTCCTGTGCATCAGTTTCTTCCAGGTAGTCTCACAGTCCAAAGACATGCAGGTTAGCTTGATCCGTGGCTCTAAGTTGCCTGTAGGTGTGAATGTGAGTGAGCGGTTGTTTGTATGTGTCGGCCCTATGTTAGACTGGCCAGGGCGTACCCCGCCTCTCGCCTAATGTCAGCTGGGATTGGCTTTGCAGGTCGTACTCATAAAATAATTTCATTACATTGCAGAGGTGTTTCTGCTGTCAACAGTTCCTGTATATTTATGTAATGACTCAAATTACATACTATTCATTCTAAAGAATGAATAACAATATGATATATCACAGCACAAATTAAATCTTTTTGTGCTCAAATTGAAAGCTTGTTATATCTGATAATATATTCCGGTGCATGGCAACAAAAAGCTGCTTCGGTGCTGTTGGAAGACAGTGCTAACAGCAGACAAAGGACAGAAAGATCCTGAGTGATGTCAAAGCAAGATTTATAAGGCATATGTGAAAATCCATTTCTGGCTAATTGGAAGAGCTGGAATATATTCATGTATATAAACACAATTTCAAAAATAGGGTTTCCAAGCCTGCAGGCTAAGCTGCCTCTGTATGTTTATGCTATTTGTGTATTTTATGTTCTCTGTATTTGAATCCATGGAGAGGCTTGTGTGTGTGGTTCCTTGGACTGCTGGATACTCCTAGAAGTTGGTCCTGTAGACAATATGATATAATGACTCTAATGCACTCAACATGTGCATTTATTGAGTTCTAGTGTTTTACAATGAAGTGAGTGTTACCTGTGATTTTTATGGTTCTCAGGATATCCTGAACAACCTGGACCCTCCGGGAACTGCAGAGTTGGACGATGATGACCTCATGCTGGATGTGAACCTCCCAGAGGATGGTTTGCATGGTCAGCACACACATACACACAAATACACACAAACATGGCATGTAATTGCAGTTATCCTACAAAAGATTTAACTTTTTGAAATTATACTTTGACCGTGACAAATGCTTCAGTATCATTGGCAGGAGATTGTCCATTATTTTTGTAGAAGCGGACACCTCCAGCAAAACCTCTCTGATTACAATTGTAAATTAATGCATCACTAAGGTCAGAGCTTTCTATTCCCAGCGATATCCTTCTATGGCATATAATGGCTTGAATAAATTGAATTCTCTCTTGCCTTGGGTGGAAGATTTGTGCTGCAACATCCATTAAAATCTTTTAATGGACATCTTGTTTTCTATTATGTGCTGTTGCACTTTTAATATTTGGTGTCTGAAGAGTTATTAAATTGCAACTCCTCTGCTGCCACACAGCTGGCTTTGACTGACAGGCAGCTGACCTAGAGAAGTATTCAGCCAGCTGTCTGGCTCTGTTTATATGAACAGATGCGCACATATTTGCATATGGTACTGGCTCGACCATGGTGCATGCAGGTTTGTAGGAGCAGAGTTTACATTTGATTGCCTTGACAGCAGTTTGGTGCTAGTGTGATTACTTTAATAGCTTTCTGTTCACACATTGCATCACTCACTCCCATCTTGATATAACAGCTATTGAAGGAGCTTTCTTTATCACACTTTTTTACTTTGTAAATGTAATCAAGTACCAGCCGGGTTAAAATTGAGGAGAATAGCTTCTTTGTAGGTATTTAAGGTAATCAGGTCACGATGTTATTATGGATTCATCAGATAGGAATACAGTATAATGAATTCTAGGAGGTGTCTTTTCTCTTGTCAGCCCTGAGGCCAGCTGTATCCAAATACCACTGTATCACAGTGTATTTAATGCATTAGTGTACTGTGAAATGGCAGGATCTGGGCGTACACACAATGCTTTCTTTTTGTGCCACAACATGGAAGATACACAGAACATGTATGTTTCCATGTGGCCCATGCATGCATATAGATGGGCACATTTCAGTCACACACACACACACACACACACACACACATGTACTACACAGTCTCTGGCTTAGACACTGCTAAAACAAATGCAGTCTGCAGTCTAATGCAACAGCCCTGCAGTAAATTCTACCATAATGTTCAGCTTTTATTGAAACTGTTTTAAAGATGTATTGATTCAACTTTATGGTCATTTTGGAAGCTGTAGATTATAATGCTGTTGAATTGTGTGCTGTTTCTAATGTTTAGTCTTCCTTCACTGATATAATCTACAGCCTCCAAAATAACCATAAAGTTCAATCAAAACTTCTCTAAAACAGTTTCCATAAAAACCAACCATTACAACTTTCATGAGGGTAGAATTTATTAGAGGCCAGTTGCATTAGTCTGCATTAGCCTTATTTAGGTGTACCTAATAAACTTGCAGCTGGGTATACTGTACAATACTGAGGCAGCCCTACACCCTTGATAGATCATTATTTAATGTGCAAACACTGATCTCCTTGTTTTTGACACAAGGAGCAAGAGAGGGAGGAATATTCACAACATAGGAATGTGAACTGGAGCGTCGCCCCTTCCTCCCCCTTTTATGAGAAGTGACCATATTTATAGCTATGTTGTGGTCAGAGCTGGTATTATGAGAAGCAGAATTAACATGAGACAGTCTGATCCAGCCCACAGGGCAGGCCCTGAGATGTGGTCTTGGGGAGGGTGTTTCCATCCCCCTAAAGACCCCCTGACTCAGCCAGAGAACAGAAAGAGGGGAAGGGGAGAAGAGATTTGAAAAAAGAGAATGGTAGAAGGGCCCTGATGTAGTATCTGTATTTAAATGTCAGGTCCCTTGACCAGGGAGAGGACATCACTTTTTTACTTTGTGTGCCTAAGTTGGAGATTTCCTAGGTTGGACACAAACCAGGCAGCTCAGCTGCACTATCACCTCCACCACAGTCCTCCCTCCCGAGCTCCAGTTCCTAGGGAGTTCCCAGAAAAACAAGGCTGTCAACAAAGACTGAACCAGGCAGGGTGGGAGCTGGGTTGACTTTCTCTCGCTCTCTCTCTCTGGCCCTTTAACTGCTCATCAGCTGACTGGACATGGAGTCATTTCCCTCCACTCTGCGTCTGAGTTTCTCTACATTTATGGATTTTTCTTTTCCATTTGGACTATATTCCATTTGAGTTACTTTTTAGAGGACATTTTCTGAGTTGAAAGGAGATTGCTCAGGTTTCCTGGAATGTACCGGCTCATTATGAAATAGGCTGTCTGCTCCCGTGCTCTGTGGTGACACTCGGGGTAAAGTATTTTATCCACCACTGCTGAATTCCTTGGATTAGCTCTTTCCATTTGCCAATATTTGTTTATCTCTCTTTTTTCTTCTGTCGTTTTCTCACTTCCTCTCAGTCCAAACACTATAGTATCTGGCATATAGGAAGTCAAGGGGCCTTTTTATTTCCTGGGGGTCATGCTCTGTTAGCTGTCAATTTTGTTGTGGTCATGGTTCATTTCATAGTTATATACTATTGAGTGTTGCCAAATACTGTGTCCTTTCACCCCCTTGAAAATGAAATGGCCCGTCACCGTGTGTGTGAGCGTGCTTTTGTATTTGTGTTGGAGACAGCTGAGAGAAATAGAGAATGAGATGGATCAGATAGTGATTTATATGTAGATATTCTAGAATAGTATATTGAAAATGCACAAAACAGTATTCATTAACACTAGGTATGAAAAATTGACTCCCAGTTGTGCATTGTGTGTGTGTGTGTGTGTGTGTGTGTGTGTACACCTTACAGTGATGGTAATACACACAAAAGGACAGAGAAAAGCATAGAAACACAGCATTTGCATAATATTGTTCATCGTCAGCCACAAACATCTCGTTTCACTTCAACAAAGCAGAAACAGAAGAGAGTTTCATAAACTTTTACTGTCTGCATCATATCACAAACACTTACTCTGAATTTTAGGTCAGATAGCACATTGTTTATGTCTTCTTGTCTCTGTTTCATGTATGCACTTTGCTTTTAATTCTCTAAATACAGACATTGACAGGATGTCCAACGCTGAGCGCTCGGAGAGAGCCGGCAGGCAGGGACAGCGGCGTAAACACCACCGTTGGAATGGACCAGGTCACTTCTGCAATGACAGCAGGTGATTAAAAAATTCTGCCATAAAAGAAGTAAAAAGTAGGAATGAAAAAAAAAGTAAAAGCACAATAAAAGCAATGTCATTCTGTCTGTGTGCGTCTGTCTGTCTGTCTATGTCAGGGCCCATGTCTCCCAGAATTATGATGATCTCAAGGTTTCAAGGATTTCTTCACAGCCCGTCCCCTCTGAAGGCAAGCAGCGAGGCTATATGGCAGTGCTGGATGAACTCACATTCGAACACATGAGTCAGGACTGCAGCTCACTCAAGACCCAGCTGCTGAAGCTCAAAGCGTTGCTACAGGTTCGACCCACTTTTGCAGAGAGATATCAATGAACACAAAGGTGTATACTTGCATGTATCAATACAGGCACAAGCGCACTCATATGCATGCACATGGAGTACTATAGGACAGCAACAATGACATTTAGTATATGTTTGTCATTCTTCTGTGCTCTGGGCCTCCTTCTCTTAGAAATGTATGTATGCCTGCATTTGTGCTTGATTTTTGATCTGTATACCTGTATCTGTGTTTGTGTGAAACAGATCAGTTAATAGAGACTTGAGACAGAGAAATCAGGTAGAGGGAAGAAAAGAGGTGATAGGAAAGTAGAGACGAAAATTAAAGATGTCAGTTATCGAAATGTGCTCTTACATATAAACTGAGCACAGAAAACCCACACTCATGTAAAACATAACCCCATCTAGGCAATTGCATAAATGCACAGAAGCAAAAGCACTTCACACTGCACACTCTGTAAAACGAAATTATCTTTGAATGCCTCCTCCTCCGGTGATATGTTCATTGTATTCAGTGCAATTAGGCGAGCGCTGTGTCTGTATAGTCTCAGGAGGGGAAACGTTTCTGTTGGCCCATTAGTAACTCTGTTCTTAAGTGTGTTTTTCTTAGTATGATGTTGAGCTCAAGGCAGCAACTGAAAACTGTGCCCCAGACATGCTGATCCCTAATTGATCTTTGCTTTATTGTGCTAGTATCTAGAAAGCCAGTGCAACTCTGTTAATCGATGCTGGCTCTAACTGCATTATTGTGTCTAACCTGAATAAGGAGCAGGTGGAATGTAGTGTTGAAATGGGATTTATATTTCAGGTAGTGGACAAACAAGCTACTGTATTTATCAATGAAAGTTTCAAATGACCATTTAATGATTTTTCTTACAATTAGTAAACACTGAATTTTTGCAGGTTAAAGCTTCTCAAAGGTTAGGATTCCACTTTCATTCCAATTTCATCCCATCTCATTGGAAATTGAATCACTTTTTGTGACTCTGAAGACATTATTTTGATAACCTGTTATCACCATTTTATTATTTTTGACATTTCACCATTATATGCTTAATCAAAGACTGAATATTCTGAGATGAAATCTTGATTTGTTTTGGGAAAAATACACCAGTGCTGCACCTATTTAATATAAGTAGCTTCTAAAATTAGGACATTTTTGTACATGAAAGAAATCTGTTAAATGTTCAAAAACATACTGTGCCTCAGGTATCTAACACTGGTGGCTGACAGTTAAGGGTCGGCAGAGTGCTAAAGAGTAAAATTATTCCAAAAAAATACTGCTCCTGAGACATGCCTGAGGCACTCGCCATTGATCCATCTCACTGGGTACTGTCTGTTTATGTGCCTGTTCGTGTTCACGTGTGTGTGTGTGTGTGTGCTTGTTTCCAGCTTGAGGATACAGACTCTTCAGCTGATGTTCCTGAGGAGACTGAAGACAACACCGCTACATCACAGGTAAAAAACAAAACAAAACACAATACTTTATCTAATACCTTAGATTTACAGCTGTTATTGGTTGGAAATGCTGAATAATAATATGTATTTCTTTATTTTTCTCCAGTTTGAACTGAGATAGTCAACTATTGTATATTATATGTGTTTGTCTTTTCAGTTGGAGGAACTGATTAAGGAGGTGCAGGTGCTCAGAGAGGAGCTGAGAAGTCGAGACAAGACTATTGCTCAGCTCACAGTA